GGGGGCAGATCCTCCCTCGGCCTGGAGTCTGTACATCCAACTGGGGCATCTCTGTGCCAGCGCGAGCTCCACCACCAGATGTGGGCTGGGGACTGAAATGCCGCCGTGGGCCCCTCCGGCCCGTGCCAGACAGGAGGCCAGTCTGAATGATGGGAACGGGCCCTTCGGTGTCTAACCCGCCCCCGCTCCCAGTCATCCCGTCCGCACCAGCAGCCGCACCGGGGTTAGCACCCGGAGAGCCCTGCTCCCATCCCCCGGCCCCGCTGCCATCTGCCTTGAATGTGTCCGCTCTGCGCGGAGTGACTGGCTCAGGCTGTGAATGGACAGCCAGGGCTGTGGCCTGGAGGGGCTGGTGTCACAGTTTCTGAATCAAATGATCAGTTTTAGTCCATTACCAGTCTTTTTTTTTTTTAAAGTTCTGTAACATCGCTGTTCAAAGACCTCAGAGACCCCACATCTAGTGGCTAAAGCTGGGGGCTGGGAGTTAGGACTCCTGGGTTCTGTTCTAAGGCCTGTCATTGAGCCTGAGTGGCCTCTGTTTCCCTTTCTGGGAAATGTGGCTAGGACTTCAATCATCTTCGGTGGCGTGCAAGGACAAATCCACTAATCTTGGATGTGCTTTGAGACCCTTAGACAGCAGAACCCTTTGAGTTACAATTTACAACACGCTAACATGGTAAATTCTGACATGAAAGGATGGGGAACCAACAGAGATTGGGGTTAGAAAATAATTAGCTACTTCAACAGGCACTTTCTTTTCAGCTGGTTTCACCTAAGTATTGATATGTCTGATCCTTTCCTAACATGCCTTTCTGTAGATGTCACAACTTGACACCGCGGGCTTTGTTCCCTCCGAGGGGTGGAGGGCCTCTCTGATAAGATTGCCTTGGCTAGCTTCATCTTGGCCAAAGTCTCCTGTTGTAGGGGACCAATGTTTAAACGTACGGAGCCGCCTCCAGAAGTGTGTTGCTCTTGGATAAAAAGGATCCGAAGGTTAAACGTTAAGGGAATTAATTGAGGCACACAGCCTACCAAGAAGGAGCAGTTTTCGCTTTAAAAGTATATCTTGGATAGGGAAGAGCTGGGAGCCAAATTCGATCTCCATTGCTCCTGGGTGGCTTTAGCATCCTTAATGTTATCTTGTTACAAGCGGATCTGTGATATGAGAGCTCCAATAACCGGAACGCAGCAGCACCATTGTCGCTAGCTACCCATGGCTCCTACCCTGGCAGCCTGGCTCACTTTGCTTAAAAATCTGTAGGAAAATCTGGAGAATGTATCCGAATATTACCTCCCTGAGGGCCACATCGCCAGCAGCATCTAGGAGCATAAAGTTCTTTATAACGAAGAGACCGGGACAGGTGCAGTTGTGTGGCCTGTTGAGACTCTAGATCCCAGCATGTATCAACGTGGGACTTTTGCATGCTGGGGCTGTTAGCTTCCATGATCCCAGACACTCTGTTAGTTCTAGCTATCTGACCATTAATCTTCCTCTCCCAGATGCCCCCTCTAGGACATACACAGGAGGAAATCGGGGTTAACCGTAAGCCCCCGGGCACCTCCCAACTCAGTGTCACGAATATCACTGTTATTATTTATTTGTATTGTTGTAGCACCTAGGCACCCCAGACGTGGCATTGTGCTAGGGGCTGCACAAACACAGACACATCCCTGCCCCCAGAGAGCTTCCGATCTAAGCATGAGACGAGACCCAGATGGGTACAGACAGGGGAGTACAAGGCATCAGCGAGACCGTGCGGTCGGCGTGGCAGGCCGTGGCCTCAGCACACCAGCGGCATAGCTGTTGTCAATGTAACATCAGGCCTGTGCCGTTCGCTCCCCTCTTCTGGAGCTTGTGGACGGTGTTCAGGCCAATCCCACGCCTGCTCCTGGATGGGCCCCACTCTGCAGCTCAATGCCGTGCCATTGACCATTGCTCTGTGCGGGGCCTCCTAACCGAGCCAGGCTGAGCTCTCTGAACTCAGGAGTGGGGAGGGATGCAGGGGGCTTGGATGTGGAGCTGCTGCTCAATGCCTGGGGCTCCCCAGACTCCTCTCACTTCAAACTCTCTCTGTTTTCTGCCTGCAGGATCCCCCTCCATGCCTCAAGATGCTGCGCCTGGACCGCCGGGCTCTCTTCCTTCCTACCCTCCTCTCCCTCCTTTTCACTCCCTCCTCTGGATTTTTTGGCTGGCTGAGACAGGGAGCAGCTCCAGAAAGAGACCCCGTCCCCCCGACACCAGCGCCAGCCTCGAGGAGTCTCCCTAATGCTCCCTTTGAGATGACGACGGGGGATGAGCGATTCCTGGCTGAGGCCAGGCACCTGGATCTGTCTCCACTGGACTCTTGTCACCACAAGGTGTCACTTAGCTCTTTGTTGCAGGAGGGCACTAAATGGGCTGGGGCCGGACCGACAGGGAGGAGGGAATGGTCCGTGCCCCAAAGCACTTGCCATCCAAGGTCCAGATCCTGTAAGCACTTCTGCATGTGCTTCCCTGTGTGCAGGAGCCGTGCATTGCACTCGATGGGATTGTTCCCTGTGCACGGATGTTTCATGTTTGCATAATCAGGCCCTAAACAGAGCCGCAGTGAAGGGGAGGGGGGAGGGGGACAACAACCAAGCAACGGTGCTCCGGCTGCTGGTGTCACTGTTCCATGTGGCCACAAATTGCCCTGTGTCCGTATGAGCTCTCCTCATCTGCCCTGCCCCTCGTTAGCTGGCTCGTTTCCTGTAAAGGGGGTCTTGTGGGGGGGGGCCTCGAAGGTGAAGACGGTCACCCTGTTTGTCCGCTTGTCACCCAACCTCTCCAGATGTTCTTCCAGCCCACCCCCTACCTCCGGAATGCTCCCCAACCCTGGAGCGGGTCCACGCAGCCTCTGCATGTTCACATCCCTCCTCCCCGCCAGGAGGCCTGCGGGAAACAAGCCACATTTATTTGTATATTCAGATGATGCCGTCTTCCTCCCCCTGCTGTGCAGCTGTTCCCGGGCAGAGCCCTTGCTGATGGCCTGGGGGTGCCAGCGGGGCACATGGTGCGGGCTCCTTGGTCAGTCTGCTTCTCTGAAGGCTTTTAGGCTCTTCCGCATTTGCAGAGCAGCTAAAGTGGGTAGGGGCAGCCGGCCTGGCGGGAGGGGAAACAGCTGCTCTCAGACAGGGAGAGGAGCCGCCCACTGTGGGGGGGAAGGAGGGGACTGAGCAGGGAAGAGGCATTGGGGTAACATCTCCAGGGGAGCAGAGGCAGAAGATCACCAGCTGGCTTGACTGTGCTTTCACAGGGAGGGGCTGTGTGAGGAGGGGCTCCCCTTGTGTTGTGGGGTGTCTAGCATGCTTCTGGGTGCTGCCGAACTAATCAAGGGGTATGGAGGTTAGCGGGGAGGGGAGGCGAACCCCAGGAACTGAGCTCTCCTCATTAAGTCACTGTCCAGCATTAATGATTCTCCTATCGTGGGGCAGCGGGTGAGGATTTAAAATGCAAGTCTAGGGGCAGAGGCCACATGTGGCCTGCAGATGAGGAGTTACCTTCTCTTGCACCTGGGAGAGGTCAGGGGGAGTGGGAGGCACCCAGCTTGCTGAAACCACAAGCCCTAACGAGCGCCTTCCCCTCTGCGTTGCTGCTGGCAGGTTATTGCCCAGATCCACTCCTCCTGTACGGACCTGACGGAAGAGGAACTGGCCAAGCTGGGGGTGTCCCTGTTTAACTGCCAAGCGAGCGTGGAAGGGCGCAGGACCTATCCCTGCACTGCAGACATGGTAAGACGGCGAGGGGCGGCTCTGAATTCACACCCTCCCATGCTGGCTGGGGAGAGGGCTGCAGCCGGTGCAAGCACCCTGAGATTC